TTTTTGTCAGGAATCCCAATCATCAAGCTGGCGATCAGTACAAACCATATGCCGAGAGGCATGAGGCACTGGTATGTTATTTGGTATTCTTACTTATAACTGTGATATAGCACTCTGTAATTAATATTTTACATGTTGTGCAGGCTATTGATCTACATTTATTCCACCAGTTGGGACTGTAGAGCATTATATTTGTGATTTGAATGTTGCCTGCCCTAATATAGGGCGGGACTATGACACTTGCATACCCTTCCTTCGGCAACACCCGGTATGGAGCCGTTCTTGGTGGAGGTGGGGGTGGAAGTGGGACGTTTTCTTGAGGCGTCCGACCTCTTCTATTTGCTTGAGGTTCAAGAGGAACCTCTTCAACTTGGTCATTCTCAACATCCACATCCCCTAGAGGCATATTTCCGAGTTGATCATTGTTGTTTGCCATTATCATACCTACAATTGATTCACACAAATTAGTTACACAGAAGGAAAAGAAGATATTCTACACACAAACCCAAATATATAGTTAACACCTTTTTTAGCTTCCCGGCAACGACGCCAAAAATTGATCTCGTCCATTCACACCTCAAATCAAGAATATAAAACGGTCGATTGCAATAGTAGTACGCAAAAAAAAGTCGGGGTCGATTTCTATAGTGAGCTATATATGAGAGTTATGAGTATATATTGTAGTACGTGACTTTGAACTACCTCAATCTACACTTCCACAAATTGGGGTTGTTTCTATGTCTATTTTAAACTACGATTGTAAAGTTAAGAAATGAAACTAAGAAATTGTTTTTGTTGCTTTTCAAGTTTTACAAAAAGCCTAGGGCTATGACCATCACCTAGGTGTTTGCCTAATGTGATATAAACCTTAATTCTTGTTTTATTGATGGGGGTGTATTATAGCTATCAACCTTCAATTACTCACTCAATACCTCTAGGTCCAAAAGGGTATTGCACAAAATGTTTGATAAAAGCTCAAGTCGGATTATTACTATCTTTAGGTTGACCCCTTTAAATGGGATTATCAATCTCTCGATTGACCCAATTTCTTGTTAACCAAGTTTTTCTAAACTATCTCTTTGTCAAGTAAAGACTAAGTCAAATAGGCATGAACTAATGTTTGCAACCATTAATTCTACAAATTAAAGCATGAACAAGGCTAAATAATAAACATTCAACCATAAACAAACATTAAATTAAACACCCGTAAGGTTTACACATTAGGGTTAGGTCACAACCCTAGTAAAAATCTAGCTACTCATGCTTGAAATTGAAGACATAGAAGAAGAAATGCTAATTAAACTCATATTGTAAAATCAAAATGATAAAATCTATGTTAAAATATCCCAAAATATGAAAAACTACTAAAAGAAGCAAACAGAAACGACTACTGTAGTTGTTGATGTCAAAAGTTGACCTAATTTTGTGAAACTCGTCTATTTATACAGCACTGGAAATTTCAGACAAAATCCCCTTCGAGAGGTTCTACGGCGGTATAATTCTATGTGTGGTCCGCATAAGTGTTCATCTTGCAGGAGCTGGGATTCTGCGGCCGCATAATTCTCCGCTGCGGCCACAAGGCAATGTTTCTGCGGTCCGCAAATTTATCACTGCGGCCACAATATATTTTTTCTGCGGCCACAAGGCACTTCTTCTGCGGCCGCACAATTCATGTGTGGTCCACAATCTTGAGGTACTTGGACTTTGAAAAATCGCACACCCTCTGAAGTTGATTTTCAATTCTTCAATTGCGTCCACACAATTCCTTTGCGAACCGCATTTTGCTAGGAAGCCTGTTGGGTTTTTCTTCATTGTTTGCGGTCACAAATGGAATTTTGTGGTTCGTACTTTGCAAGTTCGTGTGTCTTTTGTTGCCTTGTGTTTTGATTACTCATTTTTAGTCAGATTTCATCTCGGGAGTCCAACTTTCAACATTCCTGCAATTTTGCACATTTCATCAGTTTCGGAGACACAATTAAACGCCTTTAGACTAAAACAAAAGCTAAAAGGTGCTAATAAGTAGTCAAAATCTCCACTTATCACTTGACACCACATATATACACTACCCCTATACCTTAAATACATGGCAATAAAGTCAAATCCTAGGGATTTTCTTCTTAACAAGGTTAGCCAAGAGACTTACCTCCACCCGGTAGTCTTTAGTCTTCTAAATAGCCTTTCCTCTCAAATCAACCTCCGAACAAGGCAAATCTTGCCAAATACAATTCAATGACGTCAAACAAAGCCATAGAAATCGAATCCAAATGGTAAAGATCGAATATTTAATCGAATGTATAAAGTCAACCAAACAATTAACCCGGACTTGCCTCCCGGAATCCAATAAATCTCATAAATCCCAAATAATCATTCCATACGAGTCCAAATACACAAGCTTTATCCAAAACAGACTCCAAATTGGAGTTTAAATATCAATTATTCTCTTTACGAAAGTTTCTTATGAAAACCAATTTTCTTATTTAGATTTCATCAATCAAAAGCCAAAATTAAGGATAAAATCATGAATAACAAATAAATCTGAGATAAAAATACTTACCCAATCTAAGTGAGTAAAAACTGCCTCAAAAATCGCTTCAATCCGAGCTCCCAATCTCAAAATATGATAAAATAAGTCAAACCCTTGATTAATACAACACTGCCCAGCAGTTATCTCTTTTGCGGCTCAAAGGTCGCTTTTGCGATGCCATTTCTGCAGTCCAGACCTCGCTTCTGCGAGGTCACTTATGCCCTCGACTTCTCACACCTGCGGAGTCCCACTTCGCTTCTGTGGTCCCGCAAGTGCGACCAAAACCCCGCTTCTGCGAAGAATCCCCCAAGCCTAACTGCCAAACTTCACTTTTATGACCAAAGGCACTGTTCGCAGATGTGCACAAAAGCTCCGTACCTGCGCACCTTCCAAAAACTTGTGATTCTTTTTCTGCATCTGCAGGCTCGCACCTGTGGACCAAATCACGCAGGTGCAAAAACACCAAATCAGAAATGCCAATTCAACCTCAAATGGTCTGAAACCCATCCGAAACTCACATGCCCCCTCGTGAAGCTGTCCAATCATATCAACATATCCCAAAGCATAATACGTACCTACTTGAGGTTTCAAATCATCCAAAATAACATCAAAACTATAAATTACACTTTAATTCAAGCTTAATGAACTAATCCACTTTCAAACTTTCAAAACTCATGTTGAACCACATCTGACCAATTTAAAATAACCTCAAATTTTGCACACAAACCCCAAATTCAATATCGTTAAAGTCAACTTCCGATTAACCCTATGAACCTTCCAAACTTTTAAGTTTTCAGCTTTCATCAAATAGAGCCAAATCAGCCTATGAACCTCCAAATTCAAATCCTATGCGTAAGTCAAAAATTACCATACGAACCTATTGGAACTATCAAAAAACTAGTTTGAGGTCGCTTTCATAAAAGTCAAACCCTGATCAACTCTTATAACTTAAGCACCAACCTTGAAATTCATTGTTACAATTCACTCTAAAACTTTTCCAAAATCAAACTAATTAATCCCGCAAGTTACGAAACAATAAAGAAGTATACTGTAAGCATCAAATAGGGGAAATGAGGCTCAAATATACAAAACAACTGGTCAGATCGTTACATTCGGCCAACAACATCAACTACATAGGAACTCTAGAATATTAGCACAAAAACTACACAAGGACAAAAAGATACAGAAACACCAAGTTAATTTTTTAGTTTTTAAAATTTTACCCCCAAGTTTTAAGTTGCACAATGGACCTCGACCACCCTTAATCACCCCCTAGTAACATGTCTTTTGTTAACCAAAAAATGTGTCCCAAATCCTTACACAAACTTGAAAAGTCATTTTAAACTCAATTTCCCCAACTCTTATTCTAAAGTAACTCTAGAGAATTACTTTATACTAGTGTTAATTCAAAGGAGTAGAGAGTTTAAATAGAGCTGCATGGTATGTGAGGATTTATGTAGTTGTCTTCTAACCCGTTTGGGATATAATTGTTGTATTTTGAATAGTAATTAACTAAATGAGCCTTATCTTTTTCCTTAAACGGGTAATTAATTACTATATACTTTCTTGGAATAATAAATATACAATTGAAAAGAAAAACTACTACTTTTTAAATTTATTAAAATGACAAATAGTTTATATTAATTTTTTTCCCGTTAGCGTAACATATAAAAAGAATCGAAGAGAGTACTGTAGTACTCTTTTCTAGAGGCTCTTGTGCCATTGAACCATAGTACATAGTTGTGATTGGAGAATCCTATGTTATTTGAATCTATGCTCCTTTAGCTCTAAATTGTACTAATTATATGGCTAAATGTAAACTCTGTGCTACTTATAACTATATGTTACTTGTACGATTAAAAATGTAGTGGAATGTCCATAATTCTTTCACCTTTAATAAAAATTCAACATTTAAATTTGGAAATTAAGAAACTCTTAATTACACCTACTCGTGCAAATTAAAATTAGTCGAATTAATGAATCTCGAAGACCTTTACAAAAATATCTTCTTAAATGACGTCCAAGTGTGGTCATAACTCTCCACGTGGATAGAGAACGAAGAAGACTCACAAAAAATGGCACGAGACTATATGATTCAGGTATTTCATTCATTCACGTATCTTGAAGTAATACCTAATTAACAAGTCATACAAAAATATTTAAGTTACAAAGAAAACTAATATTTACCTTTTAGAATTCATACTTAAATCACTTCATCTTGTTAATATGTTAGTGATTATTTTATTCTAAATTTTTAAAAGTCCTTCCTATATAATTACAAGTGTGTTCTGCATCGGCCAATATAATTACAAGTGTTCCACATAGGCCTTACACGTGATAAACTATCTTATATGAAACTGAAGGGACATAAAAATTAATGCTATTTTTAGTCAATTTTGTCGCTTGCCTTTTGCTGACACTGTGTGATGGTTTTCGTGGTGTCTCAGAATATCTTTGTCGAAAGTCATTCGTGGAGTCTCAGATTAAAGAAAACGTAGATACTATATTTTAAATCTATGTTTCAAGTAATCAAATTTTGTCGATCGCCACCTATCCATTACTGAATTTTCATACCCTTTTTGTCTTTCGACTGACTGGTTCATTTCATATTGAAATACCAAACATCTAGTAATTTTTTGCATAAAAACTGGTTAGTAAAGTCCATGTTCATATAGTTTAATTTGATCCTTTCTGAACTTTATTGGTATATATATTACTCCTATCATGTTTTCTGTTTGTAAACAGCGCCTTGCAGATTTTCCTTTGTCTCTTTTAGCTTTTCATCAGAGGCAAAGCTGATATCTTATTCATGAACTCGTCACATTTACGGGATTGGAAATCTTGGAGGTGACGCAGACACAAAAAAGATATGGACCAGGTAACATTAATATAGTGTCATATACCAAATTATATAATCTTTTTCAATAACCAAAGCTGAATCTTGAATATTGTTTACTTTGGTTAGGATTTTTGGAGCATTATTAAGTTGAATGAATTTTCACCTGAAAGGGTATTTTTGAAGATGTATTTGGTGGAGAGCAAAGCAGGGGCAATAGCTTGTATGCTATTTTCTCTGTTATTCTTGGGAACATGGCCTGCTCTGCTTACTTTGCTTGAACGACGAGGTCGTCTTCCTCAACATACTTATCTTGATTATACTATCACAAATCTTTTGGCTGCTACTTTCATTGCTTTTACTGTTGGTGAGATTGGAAGGAGCACAATGGACAAGCCAAATTTTTTCACTCAGCTTTCTCAGGTTTGTGGCTTACACAACAACTTTATGGGAAGTCGTGGAGGAATGTTGAAGTGTGTGATCACCTTATTTAAAAGCTTAAATTGTTAAAGAGCATAATTTAGTTACTTAATTATACTGTGTCTTTACTTGTTGGCCTGATTCTCTTTCACGGGCCAAACATTGAATTTTTCTTTTGTTTTTGGGGTGGTGGTAAGATGTGAACGAAGGACCTCTGGTTACTATAATATCATATTGAAGTGTGTGATTATCTCATTTAAAAGTTTAAGATGTTAGATAGAGTAAACTTTTACTTAAATATATTATATCTCTACAGGACTAAGCTTATATGCAAGATATTAGGCCCCTTAGGGATGAGGAATAATCCACTATAAGCTTAGTCCACTAAGGGTCATATAAACATTTATAGTGGATTGTTCATCTCCCTTGTGGAGGTAGGTCAATTGACTGATTCACGTCAAATATTTATGTCTTATTTTGGTATGCTTCTCTTTTGTTGTCTGATTTGTCATCGTTTAAGGTGTGTCTTGTTAGCTTCCACATTACACTAGATTATTTTCGATCTTAACATAATGTTCTGTTGTACAACTCAGTAGCTTCATATGTTCATTTAAGACAGGGGAATGTGCCTCATATTCAAGAAGCAATGCATGAACTTTGACTAGAGCATTTTAGATTAGATTCTACATCAATATATTAATATGTTCTTTCATTGGTTTGTCTGATGAGTTGTTCTACTTAGCATGGTGTCTGATTAGTATTTGTATTGAAACAGTAAAGATCATGTGCTTGTGTTACCAAAGATGTGTTCTGATAGAGTAATTGGAGAGTTAGCAGTCATACTCACTAACATACCTTCTTTGTCCTTTTAATTTAATGAAGTCATGCTCACTAACATAGATTGCGCGTACTGTTTTTACCTGTTGAATTTGCACGATTGCAAATATTTTGGAACTGGTAATTTCTTTTGGGTTTTGAACGCGTTTATTGCAGGAGAATTGGCCGAGTGTTCTGTTTGCAATTGCTGGGGGAGTGGTCCTCAGTCTAGGGAACCTTTCAACACAATATGCTTGGGCTTATGTTGGTTTGTCAGTCACTGAGGTTATCACTGCAAGCATTACGGTTGTTATAGGTATCATTTTAACTTTACATTTTACTGAAGCAACTCTGTCTACTGATAACCTATGGCAAGGAATTCCGATGATATTAGGTTGGAGTTTGACGTGCGTTCTTGCTTTGGTTATGGCAGGAACGACCTTGAATTACTACCTTGATGACAAAATTAACAAAGCTGAGATTCTTTTTCCTGGCGTTGGATGCTTCTTGATTGCTGTTTGTCTAGGCTCTGCTGTTCATGCATCCAATGCAGCTGATAACAAAGCAAAACTTGATTATTTTGAAAATGACTCTAAGAATGGGGTTGGGTATGCATCATCTCAACAACATATTGCACTTATGAACATTTCTTAGGGCATCATGATCATAGCTTCTCCATATGGGGAACAAATTATTAAGACATATTGCTTCATTTTTGTAAGTTGTAAAAAACGAAATTACAAACATATTCCGTAGGACTTTGTGTTGTTTCCTAGGTTCATGTTATGACAATGTTGATGTATACGTCTATCGTTATAGTTCTGGCATGTCATGAGCTAAACCAGCAATACTTTGGCAGCATTAGTCAACATCCACATGATAGCATCTCTTGTACTCCATCCGTTTCATATTATATGAGGTAGTTTGACTCGGCACAGAGTTTAAGAAAAAAAAAAACTTTTGAAATTTGTGGTCTTAAAAGCTTAAGGGGTAAAAAGTTTGTGGGGCCATGACATTTGTGTGACTATAAAAGCTTCTCATTAAGGGTAAATAGGTAAAATGAAAGAGTTTAAAGTTGAATTATTTCCAAATTTAAAAATGTGTCATTTGTTTTGGAACAGACTAAAAAGGAAAGTAGCTCATTTAATATGAAACGGAGGGATTACAATATTTCCCCTCTTAAGGTTTTCCCGACTCCCTTGTGGTCTCTCTTTGAGTGCAGGATATGCGGAACATATCTATGTAAGTCTCCACTATTGATTGCGGCAGCTTGATTTAAGTTTTGTTGAATCTTTGGCAGGATAAAAGCTGTTGCTGACGTTAAACAAACAAATACAAACACAGGTAATTTTTAGCAGGAGCATTTGAAGTTCATGTCTTCTCCATTTTTCTTATTAGATTGGTGGATTTCTTATTTACCTTTCTAGTTAATGTATAGACTTGTGCAGCTGATATGAATGACTTGGAGAATGGAGTTGCTTCTGAGGAGAAGGCAAAAGCTGGGACCGCGCTTTTCCTTATAGAAGTTGAGAACAAAAGGGCAATGAAGGTTAGAAATCCTTACTCGAATTACACCTCTAATTGCCTCTTCAAGATTAACTTAACGTGGCATGGAGAGAGTTTATAAAGATGGATTTTGTTGAAGTTTGGCAAAATGCCAAAGTCCCACATTGGTTGGGAGTTAAGTTTGGAGGGGATTTTTCCCCTATAAAAGAAGGCCTAATGTTTAGGATTGAGACACACCTCTCATTTGCCTTCTCATCTGTTTAAGGCATTTGTATCTTCTCTCTTTAGTATTATTTCACTTGTATTTTTGGAGTGAAATAAAATATTGGTTGTGTCCGAGGAGTAGGCAAAATTAGCTGAACCTCGTAAATTCTGGTGTTCCCTTTATTGTTGCTTTATTGTCTTATTTATTATTTGGTGGCTGTCATAATTTTTGGTATAGTAGTTATGACTTATTCACATTATATACATTTGGCTTCCGCAACAGATTTCTTATAGGAATTAACTTGCTTTCTGGTATTAGGAGCCTCCAACTCGTCTTTTTATGGTAATCCAATGAAATGGACCTGAATAGAGCGGAATGAACGGAGAGAATGCATATAACTGATTGATCTGTAGGGACACACCTAATCTATTACAATATCATATTTGCTTTGCAGGTTTTTGGGAAGAGTACTTACATTGGTCTGGCCATTACCTTCTTTGCTGGAGCTTGTCTTTCTCTCTTTTCGCCAGCATTCAACCTAGCAACAAATGATCAGTGGCATGTTCTAAAACACGGGGTTCCACACTTGAGTGTCTATACAGCATTTTTCTACTTCTCGGTTTCTAGCTCTTTGATTGCCACGATTCTGAACTTCGTCTTCTTGTACCGCCCTGTACTAAATGCACCCAAATCGTCGCTGAAGTCTTATGTGAACGATTGGGATGGTAGAGGTTGGGCACTTTTGGCGGGACTTTTGAGTGGATTTGGAAATGGTCTCCAATTTATGGGAGGTCAAGCAGCTGGATATGCAGCTGCAGATGCTGTTCAGGTTAGTACATTTATCTGCACAATAAGTTCATTATAGCATTTCGTTACGAAAAGAATCATACACAGGCTTGCAGCCTACTATTTTATCAATTGTCAGATTGAAATGTGGTGTTTAATTTCAGGCACTGCCTCTTGTGAGCACATTTTGGGGAGTAATATTGTTTGGAGAGTACCGAAGATCATCAGGAAGAACGTATACACTTCTTGGGGGAATGTTGCTCATGTTTATAGCAGCAGTTGCAATCCTCATGGCATCAGCAGGACATCGCAAATAGAACGGGGGACAAATCGAATAGTTTAATGTTTCTGTACATATCACCTTACCGCTTCTTGTGAATAGAAGCAATTCCGGTCAAAGAACATTCGTTAGAGTCAGTTAGAATCTTCTTAGCTTATTTCAGTTTCTGTTTACTAAAGAAAGAAACTGAAGAAAACCATCCAAGTGAACTCTTGGAAGAAGGGAAAGGAAACCTTTTATATATATGTAATGTACCTGTTGAAAGCATTCAGCAATGGATAATAAGTCTGAAATTTTTAGTTGCTTGCATTTTGTATGATCATTTTTCTACGTACATTGCAATATTGATGGCTTTCTTAATTTGGAAATTAGTGGCGTTCTATTATCTCAACATCTACGGAGGAGCATAGCAGAAAGAAAACACACATTTGAGGTGAACTTCTGACTATTACATTGAAAATTGCATATATCAACGCCCATAGTTCCAACACAGCGCAATAGAGATGATTGACGTACTGCCCTCTTTTTTACACATCCAACACCAGCTAACCAACTCAAGTCCCATTTAATTGAGAAGTTTGGTTTCTGCTTCTTACGTACAGCTAGGACAGGGTATCGAGTCAAGTTGAGCCGAGCAGCTTTTTATGGTGCTGAGCGGAGCCGGAGTCACATAGGAAGCAATGACTTCCTTTGAGAACCACCCCAAGTGGTTGTGGCCATTTTTCAGGCTCTCGGGGATGGTTTTCCATCATTGTCCTAGTAACTATAATCCTCTGTATTAAGCCGTGAGTAGATTCAGGAACATCTCAAGAAACAGATTAAACTTTTACTCTGCCATTCACTTTTTATCTCCCACGGTACACGACTTGAAAACATAGATTGCAGAATCGACTATAACAATAAACTTTTACTTCTGCCGGATGCTACCTAAATTAAGTAATCTCAATAGCTCTTCTTCTTCCAATATCATAGATTTCTCTATTTTTTATCTGAAGCATGGAAGATATTAGATATATCACGAAAGGAATCATACATATCATACTCGGCTTGCCTTTTAATAAGAGACCTCAAGCTTATTTAATAAATTTCTTAGATAGTTTTGTTTGAAGCTTATTCTTTTCACTTTTTCACACTCAATAATTAATTTTTTGATGTTTTTTTTACAATATTACCGATCCATTTAATCTTTGTTGAAGCACTCTTGACCTTTGGTAAGATTTTCTTAATTTTAATTTTGAGAAACTTATTTCATATGACCGTCAATATAACTCACTCATATATCATTGCCTTCCAAAGTAACAATCATGTGGGAATTTGTGTTTTACAAAGATGCTAAACTAGGGCTGTTCATTCGGATCGGATATCCGAAATCCGAACCGATCCATTCAATTTTGAATTTCGGATTTCGAATTGGATCGAATTTCGGATTATGTTTATTAAAATTTCGGATTTCGGATCGGATTTTGGATTGGTATATTTTAATCCAATCCAATCCGAAATCCAAAATTATTAGGACATGTATAAATACTACACTTTAATTTACATCAACCTCCAAGTTATTACCTTTACAATTGCTAGATTTAGCTATATTGGCACCATAATACTCTCATAATTGCATAAACATGAATTTTTCTTAATGCATTACCTCTTTTACAAAGAAAATATACATATTAGTTTAACTTTGAGGCATAATAATACGATCCGATATCCGATCCAAACTTTAAAATCCGATCCGATCCGATATAATTCGGATCGGATTCGGATTGCATTTTCTAGAATCCGAAATCCGAAATTCCAATCCGAAATATGCTAAATCTGATCCGATCTGATCCGTGCACAGCCCTATGCTAAACAAATCAGATATGTCTTTTTACAATCTAGTTAGCTTGAAGCATACCTACAGATACCTTGAAAGAAAATATCATACAAAGTTAGAATTGTAAAAAAAAATTATTCAAGTTGGAGTGACAATAAATAGGAAGAAACGACAGATTTAATTGCCTTTCACTTTCATAATTATTTGAACCAACTCCATAAAAAGACAATATTAATAATAGCAATTTAATACTCCCTCCGTTCCAATTTATGTGAATCTGTTTGACTGGGCACGGAGTTTAAGAAAAAATGAAGACTTTTGGAATTTGTGGTCCTAAACAAGTCAAAAAGGGGCCAGAGTATTCGTGTGGTTATAAAAGCTTCTTATAAAGGGTAAAATTGTAAGTTTAAGCTAAATTGTTTCCAAATTTAGAAAGGGGTCATTCTTTTTTGGAGCAAACCAAAAAGGAAATAGGTTCACATAAACCGGAACGGAGGGGATAATAAGTACAATAATTATTCAAAATATGAGTAGAGTAGCTTTTGAGGCCTCTAATTTTGTGAGGCCTGAAGTGGTTGCTTGGGTGTTAAGCCGCATCTGCACTCTGCTAGGTAGTTCCACATTTGACTCCAAGAACTATAACAACCTCAAAATGAACAAAGAACTGGGAAGTTAGCTGGTCCTACATCGTAATTTCCTATTTTCTCGCTGGGTGTGAATCTATCTTGTGGCATACTCTTGAGAGAGTGCTTTTCCTTTTAACTTTTTTTCATTCGTGGAGCTCTATCATCAAATTTTTTCTTAAATCTTACATATCAGATACATGAACCCCATCTCTACAATGATTTACCGCTCTTTTATTGCAGCATAATCATGGAGATTTGTTTTTATGTATCAGCATGATGGGTCCAGCCCCAAAAATAAAAGAAATAGAAAAAGAAAACAAAAAGAGAAATCAGACACCAAAACTTATTTTGGCCAAATCTTGTTTTGTATGGTGACAACTTGCCTTTGTAGAGCAAGTTGGCAGATGCAATTTACAATTGCAAATTGTAGGTAAATCAATTCTTATTGGTTGAAGTTGGCATCAGACACTCCTATAAATAGAAGCCTTTAGTTTCTCATTTGAACACACATAAGAAGAAATCTCATATAAAGTGTGAGATAGGAAATAGTTTATGGAGAAAAAGCAGAGAGTGTGAGTAATATTGTAGTGAGGTGGTAATCTCAATAGAGAGTGTAGTGGTTCCTTGAGTATTTATTCAAGACTACATGGTGTAAAATTCCTCATTATAGTGGATTACTTTACTCCTCTCGTGCCCTTGATTTTTTTACCCTTATTGAGAAGAGTTTATCACGTTAAAATCTTTGTGTTTTTGTTGTTCTTTTTATTCTTGTTGATTATCGTACTTCGGTACTAGATTATTATTCCGTTGTTATTACTGTGAATATTATTCTATGGGGTTTATTCCCAACAACTAGTATCAGAGCATATGTTCTGCTCGTTCATATAAATACTCTTCACGATCAGTAGTACTGTACTCGGTAAAAAATAAAATATCCGGATTAAAGTACAAAGTAATAAAATTCAACGGGGATAGTAGTTTGTCAATATGGAAAAGAAATATGAGGGATCCACTCATCCAACAAGGATTACACAAGGTATTACACAGTGATGCCAATAAACCTGATAACATGAAAGCTGAGGATTAGGTTGACTTAGATGAAAAAGCTGCTAGTGCAATCAGGTTACAATTATCAGATGATGTGGTAAATAACATCATTGATGAAGATACTGCATGTAGCATTTGGACAAGTCTGGAAAGCCTATACATGTCCCAAATGCTAACAAATAAATTGTACCTGAAGAAGCAGTTATACGCCCTACATATGAGTAAAGGTACAAATTTTTTATCACATTTAAATGTGTTTAACGACTAATCGCGCAGCTTGCCAACCTCGGAGTAAAGATCGAGTAAGAGGATAAAACCATCTTGCTCTTGAACTCATTGCCATTTTCGTACGATAATTTTGCAACAACTATCCTACACGGTAAAACCACTATTGAGTTAAGAGACGTCACATCGGCTCTTCTACTCAATGAGAAGATGAGAAAGAAGCCTGCAAATCAAGGACATGTTCTCATCACAGAAGGTAGAAGCAGGAGTTATCAAAGGAGTTCGAGCAACTATGGTAGATCCGGAGGTTATGGGAAGTCCAAGAACCGATCCAAATTAAAAGCCAGAAATTACTACAATTGCGTTCAACCAGATCACTTCAAAAGAGATTGCCCAAATCTAAATAAGGGCAAAGATGAAAGCAGTGGCCAGAAGAATGACTAGAACAAAACAACCATGGTGCAAAACAATGATAATGTTGTTCTCTTTATAAACGAGGAAGAGAAATGCATACACTTAGCAAGTCCAGAGTCAGAATGGGTGGTTAACACAACAACATCTTATCATGCCACACCGTAAGAGAAAATTTTTGCAAATATGTAGCAGGTGATTTCGGCATCATGAGAATGGGTAACACGAGTTACTCAAAGATTGTGGGGATTGGTGACATTTGTATCAAAACAAATGTCGGATGCATATTTATTCTAAAGGACATGCGACATGCACCTGATTTACGAATGAACTTAATTTCGGGAATAATATTGGATCAAGATAGATGCGAGAACTATTTTGCAAATCAAAAGTGGAGACTCACCAAGAGATCATTGCTGATTGCAAAAGGAATTGCTTGTGGCACATTGTACAGGACAAATGCAGAAATATGCCGAGGTGAATTGAACGCGACACAATATGAGATTTCTTCATATTTGTGGCACAAAAAGTTTGGTCATATGAGCGAGAAGAGATTGCAGATTCTTGCCAAGAAATCGCTCATCTCTTTTGCCAAAAGGTACAATGGTAAAACCTTGTGACTACTATTTATTTGGTAAGAAGCATAGAGTCTCATTTCAGACATCATGTGAAAGAAAATTGAGTATATATTTGGTATATTCTGATGTTTGTGGTCCAATAGAAGTAGAATCGATGGGTGATAATAAATATTTTATTACTTTTATTAATGATGCTTCACGAAAAGTTAGGGTTTATATCTTGAAAAAGATCAGGTGTTTCAAATTTTCCAGAACTTTCATGCTCTGGTGGAAAGGGAGACGGGTCGAGAGCTAAAGCGTCTTGGAAATGACAATGAAGGCAAGTACACTTCTAAAGAGTTTGAAGAGTATTGTTCGAGCTATGGGATTAGACATGAAAAGATAGTTCCTAGAACCCCACAACACAAGGGTGTAGCTGAGAAAATGAACCACACCATTGTGGAGAAGGTGAGAAGCATGCTCAGAATAGGTAAACTGCCTAAGTCATTATGCGGTGAAGTAGTTCAGATAGTCTGTTACT